AGAAACTGGAACTCTTGCTTTTTGACTCATCCTGCACATTAACGTCCTGAACTAACAGCATTAATGACTCTTTCTTGGATTACACTGGAAAAAACGCTGAGCTCAGCCGATGCGATCCAAACAGCGTGAGAATGAATTGCCCCTTACCGTCGGGTTTGACCAGCACCTCCTTCTGACACATGTCCTGGACGTTGACGGTGCAGTTGACGATGTACTCCGGTGTGGAGCAGTCATTGTGCTTCATCTCCTCACACTGGTAGCACTGGATCTGAAGGGCATCTCCTGCACCACGGAGCACAAACAAGAATGAAAATGATTGTAGAACTTCTTTAGATCGATACCATCAATGATTTCTTATGAGATAATAAATAATACGTTTAAGCTTGGGAAGAAAAATATTCAACTCAAGATACGAGATACATGCGTCTGGTACAATTTATGAATAAATCTGACTCTTGAAGTTGTATATTTACTCCTAAAATCCTAAATAAAAAGTGTCACTAAGTTCTACGACTACAAAAGGCAAACAAGAGGAGACAACAGCAGACAGCGCCCTCTGGTGGTCAAAAAAGACTATTGCAATATATTTTCTTGTTAAATCGAGTAATTTCTGAGATTTTTATGAAAAGACTCTCAAGTTGTTGGGGTATGAATCAGCAGGCTATTAGCTTAGCTTAGCTTAGCTTAGCTTAGCACAAAGACCAAAACATGATACAGCTAGCCTGGCTCTGTGTAATGGCACATTAATCACCTACCAGCACTTTTAGACCACTGATGACAACTTTTATAATAATTTTACCCCAAATGATTGAAAATATTACTTTATCAAATATATTTTTAAATCTTAATATTGATTTGAAAAGTAGGACGAAGTAAGTGAAACCAGCTTCATTGGCGTCACTGCTTTTCTCTACTTCAAGGTCACATTCCTGTTTTCCAGGAACCTTATATGTTAGTCTTTTCTTGTTTGCACAGAGTTAATACAACTGAAATTTGTTCACAGTACTCAGATTCCCTCGTTTTGTGAATCTATTATATAACCTCTTCTTTATCTTTTCCTGGAGTCAAGCTGCAGAGGCTTTTATGGATTTGTGTGAGTGCCTTTGATGGTGTTGCAGCAAAAAAGAAGACTAATGGAGAGTGCAATGTCATTGTCCCTGTTGTCAACACATTGTTGTGACATTACGGCTGCTGGAGAGGGGCAGTGGCAAGGGTTCTGTGTCTTTACAAAGCAAGAAGAAGTCCAATCTTTGGTGTTTCTGGGCTGTTTTCATTGCCTGTCTCTTGAGTGTCAACAGAGAGGTTATGGATTCACACACTTGAGGTGAGAACAAGCTGTAAAGTAACAGAAAACACATGAAAGTGTGTTTGAATCCCCTTTTAACTGCATGGATTTCAGAGGTGATAAAGCGCCATTTACAACACAAACAGGCTGTAAGAGGGGACTGGATGCACTCTGGCGTAGCAGAGATTACCCGTGTGAATTCTCTTCCCCTGAGATAATAAAAATGTGGATATCCGACAGCTTGCACTTTGTCTTCTCGTAAAAGATAACATTCAGTGCTTCTTGGGGCTTTTCGCAAATTTCATCTGATGCTTTTAAAGCCTCAAAACTCATTTATTTTTTACAGTGAATGCCCTGCAGAAAGGGCAAAGCATCTGTGAAAACTTTGAGGCGTAAAACCGGAGAAAATGTACCAGCTTTGAGTCAAGATTATGTCAGTTAAAATTGACATTTTGGTGCTTTTTTTGTGTGGTTGTTAGAGCTAGAAAAATAAACAATCAAAAGTTTGGGATCACTTTTGCAGACAGTGTGCTTTATGTGCAAAAGTTCTGTGCAAATATCATCACAATTTCTCAAGAACCCTTTACATCATTGGCAAAGTCCAGAGTGTGTGGATGATTTTTGCAGGCATGTGAAAGATAAAAATTGTTCTTCATTAAAAAAAATGTCTTAATCAGCACAAAATTGAGATGCCAAACCTGTCTGGTTCAATTCATATTTCTATAAGATATCTTCAATATCAGCATCATATGGAGGCATTCAATCAAAACCTTCCACTCCCACTGCCCTTTCTCTCCCAAACAACCAACACAAGCAATCCGTCCCTGCTGACATATATTACCGATGTAATTATTGAAGTGGCACCAAGCATTAATCTCAACTCCGACAGCACCATCAAAATGCATCTGATAAAGGTCCCACATATAACATCACAACTGAGGACTAATTACTTTAAAGCAAGCAAATATCTGCACCCTCCATCAATCATTGTGATAACAGGGTACACTCTTATTTAGGAGGATTATCTGTCATACTGGAGGGCACAAGCCTATCAGGTTTGCAGAATGGCTCGAAATCTTTTTTATTTTCCTCCAACAGCAAAACAAAAGGTGATAAGAAAATCCTGTTTTGCACCCACTGCATTCAGAATCCTATAAACTATAATCACTGCCGGCTCCACAAAACAGAAAAATAAAGGAATAAAATGGCAGCATCTTCAGCAACATTTATACTGAGAAGATCTAAAAGAGAACTGAAATCAAGAAGCTCCTTGGAAACGTAATGTCGCAAAGATAAAGGAGTCGCTGCCTCTGTCTTCTTCCCTACGTGCCAAAAAAGCGCACACGAGTCCAGCACAGAAATGATCCATCCGTGCGTAAAACAGCACCAAAAAACGCAACGTGGCTTTTAATTATTGCTCATTATGGCAAGAAGAAGGTCTGATAGAGAATAAGAAGCAACACATTAAAGGGGGGTTATTGGCTTGAATCTGTGTCTGTCACTTCTTCCAAAAAGCGCAGACAAGCCCGGCGAAGCGCCCACACATCTGTGCGTAAAGAGCTCCACAATCGCAACGTGATTGTTATAAATTTCTCATTATTTTTCCATGTTTCAAAATCTTTCCAAAAAGAATACAAAGATACGTTAAAGTTTCTATTTAATCCAGATCTGGGAGCCAAACCGTAGCCAGAGTCGTAAATTACGCATAGGAAAATTATTAACGAAAAGGCAATTCTTCAAAAATAAAATCGAAAATATTTTATAGAATTATTTTAGAAACAAAAGAGATATACTGGTTTGAATATCTATGCTTTGGATGCAAACCATATAAAAGTCAATTATTTGTTTATAATTATGCATGTTACACCTGTTACGCACGAATGAAGACAGAATCCATAGAGTGTAAATGGCTCCACTGTCTCTTCAACTCGCACCTTACCTGCTTCAAGAAAGACTCCGAATAAAGTCGCAAAAACGAGAAGACGCATTCTCTCCCAGAAGCCGCTCGGAGGGGAAACATCCGAACAAGTGGACTTGTTTTAGGCGGAGGAGGCATGGAGGAGTAGGAACCGCGGCGGAGGAACACCAAACCCGGATCCGCTCATCCTCTCGGCTCTGGTTTAAGGTGAGAGCAGAACGCTCCGGAGCGCGCAGAGAGAGAGAGAGAGAGAGAGAGAGAGAGAGAGAGAAAGAGAGAGAGAGAGAGAGAGAGAGAGACCAGAGCGCAGAAATCATCAGGCGCACCACGTGATGATGAGCGCACATCTGGTATTTTCATATCTCAGTTATGCAGTGCGTCTTTATGTACTGATAGAAGAGGTATTCAACACGTAGTTTACACATATATGGAATTTTACTCTTTTTTGATTTTTTGGAGTTATAAATGGTAAATCTATATTTATTAATTATCAATGTAATCAATTTGTCAACTTTTATCAAATATTGTCATGTTTGTCTGAACGTTTACAGATAGTTTACAAGTATTATGTTGCTGTAGGTGTTTCATTTGTTGCGTCTCTCTTGATTGTGTTGTTATTTGTAGAGAGAGAGATAAATCATCCGAGCGAGCAGTAACTAATTGCGTTATTATTACCCATCAAGGGCCTAATGGTTATAAATCCCTCCGCGCAGAGCAGCAGCAGCAGCGAGGTCTTTCAGTAAACTGTCGCCGGCTTTGAGCTTCACCTTCCCGCTGACAGACCTTGAGGGGGGGCGGTGATGACACACATCGCCCTTCGGGTGAAAGATTTCAGGGTGCTCTCCAAACATTTTTGTTTTCATGGTGGGGGAAAAAAAAAAGCTAGAATGAATCACCTTGTGACGCATTATGCATGCACGAGGGTGCATCATGCCTCATCTAAATAAATGAAAATACCAAAACACATGTTGGAGCTCAGTTTGAAATAGGAAATAGTTTCTCATATTTATTTAGGAAATAGTTACATAAAATATAGCATTAAAGTCTGGTTTAACAGACAGAATTGCACACAGTAATAATAATAACATTAACATTATTAATAATAATAATAATAATAATAATAATTACCAAAGTAACACTGCTGGTAACCATTTCTCTTTACAAAGGAACCAGGAACATTTAAGGAGAGAGGTGAAGCATGACAATCACACTACAGTCTGACAGTACAAAATGTGGGTATAAATACTGGACATCTAGAAAAATACACAAGTCCTCTTCAGACTCTCTTCATACAATATTAACAGTTTCATAGAAAAATCCAAAACACACACAGGCGGCTCTGTTGATTAGCACCAGCTGGTCAGATTCCAGATAAAGATTTGGCATAATAACTTCACCTAAAGTTCAAATATGTCTTTAAAATAAAGTGATAAAATATTTTAGCATCAGCTCTTATTGATCAAAATAAAGTTGTTTTTTTTAAAACAAGAACTCCTAAAGAATACATGCCGTTTTCAAACAGTAGACGTAAAACCTTGGTTGAATGATTGGCAAACAATTTACACCTTTTTTTGTTGTTGTCTTTTTTCCTTATTTGCATATATCAATCAGCAATGCCCATTCTGATATTAACTTATAGCAGTTTCTATGTACAACATAATATACACCTATGAAAGGAAAAATGAGGTTTGGAGAGTTCAGGTATGCTAAGCTACATCAGAAACTCGGATTCTGAAGTTTTGCACAAGGAGCCCAAAGAAAAAGGAAAAACATTTTTTTTTTGTTGTTGTTGACTTATTCCTGATGGCTGCTTTTTTTTTTTTTTTTAAAGTTCTTACAATCTACATCAGTCCAGTGTGTTCCCTGAGCTACCGACAATGACACTGGATGCGTTGAGGAAAAAAAGCTGGTCGTTAGGTGTACCTGTGCGTCAGGCAGACACTGAAAAATGATCGTTTAAGTGTATGTACCATGTGGAAGCATAGCATGATGTATGCCAGCTGACATCAGAACATTTGCAGCAACAAAAGATTTTTGTTTTTACTGCTTAAAATCAGGGATGCACAACATCTCAGCATTAAAATGATCAGCCCTGATATCGGCCTTTCACAGTTATATCGGTAAATATCGGTGCATGTAGTCAATATGAAGCATGGATTGAGTTTTTTAAAGAAATCAGTTTCAGAGGAGGACATGGCCACACATTTTCTCAGAAATGAACTTCTGAAAATAATACAAATTTCAAATGTTCTTTCTTTTCAGTATCTGACATGAGAAGCTGGAAATGATCAGATATCAGTATCAACTAAAATATCTATACCATGCATCCCTACTTGAAATAACACAAAATGACAAGATTGGCAACTGATTTGACCGTAACATGACTTAACATTGACAAAAATGAAAGACAATATGATTGTTGATGTAGTTAATGTTGTAGTAGATGTAAAAATATTGCTTAAAAAACCAGTAGAAAAGACGAACGAGGTGTGTTATGATGTCTTGTGATCCTGGGCAACAGACTTAGCAGCAAACATAAAATGACACCTTAGGTCTAGTCTCTAGCAAACAGGAATGCTGTCAAATCAAAATGTTATTGCCCTCAGCGCTGCTCATCACTGCTTGAATAATCTTTCACTTTACACTTCTTACAAACTTTGTACAGTATTTCTTACAGTGCAATGATAAGAAGTTCCCCAGCATTGGGGGAAGAGGAAACAAAAAAAATTGCAATGAGACAATGCTGTATATTGCTGTCAAGTCCACCACACCCAAATTCAAACTATTAAAAGTCCAAGTTTGGTGTTGAGTTGAGGTTTCATCCTCGTGTCTTGAATTCTAATAAGTGCTTTGCGTTGTACATAACCAGGAAAGGATCCATGCTTAGCGGCAGGGCCGAAGTCAAGACCAGTTAAGTCCAGTTGGAGTCATTTCCAATCATTGGTTAAAAGTCAGTTTGAATTGAAACCATGTCCAAGGGGGATTGGGGCCAAAGTCAACAAACCAAGTCCTGTTGGATATTCTTTTACTCGATAAAGCTGACATTATTGCTTAAGGAGATTTGAAAGGTTGAACAAGGATAACAATCAACGGGGAATCCCCACCATTGGTTGGCAGTATGCTTCAATAACTAGCCAGTCAATGCATGGGGTTTTGAATGCAAAGAGAGTAAGAAAAAGTTATCCAATAAGTAAGGGAGTTGGTCTGACAACAAAACTTGACTTGGACTCTGGCACTGAGGTCCTGCCTTGGTACTCGTTGCCCCTACACGTCATTGGAGCCCTGACTGGTGCAGGAGGAGAAGCTGTCGTACAGCGAGTCACTTAGTGAACCCACGGGATCCGCCCCGGGCTTGCTCGAGAAACTAGAAGAAGAAGGCTCGTCCAACTTGCAGCAGTCTTCGACGCTCTTTGCTGTCTCAACAAGGCAGTCCACAACGCGGCTGCCCGAGCCCGTGTCTGGATACAGGCTTCCACTGCTGGAGCTGCTGTGGTTCAGAGTGTTCAAGGACTCCAAGGAGAAGTCGAGGGATCCTGACTGGTTTGCACTGATTGCTGTCTTCTCCATGGGTATCTCTTTCTGCAGAGGAAAGAAAGGAATATGCATTAATTCAGAGCATACCAAACGATATTTGTACTCATCTTTACTCATGGTTAAACTTATTGTTGCTTATTGTTTTGTCTCATGTTCATGCTGGTGAGACCTTCCACACATCTATTGGTTAGACGGATCTGCTTAGCACAGAAGTAAGTCTCATGTTGCACCATATAACTCATCTCATTTGCAGTGTTGTGCTGCAAAGCAATAAGGCAAATGCCACTTGGGAGCACGACAGTGATCTATATTGAGACTTTATCGTACTCAAGGACCAAATGTATGTCTTGGGTGTTGGCAAGCATGCATCACTGGGCATCTGTGCCCACCCACTCCCCCCGTTATATTAACTGTCTTGCAAGATGATTTTTTTTGTAGAGCCCGTGGCGGTCTGCTTTATAAATAAGCATAATTTACAACATGTTACTCAGAGGAAATGTTACGTCTAAAGCTGCTATCTGTCGATAGTGCCTTAATTAGTGGGAGGATATAATCCTGGATGTGCTAATGATCAGGGTGACTACATGTGCTCTGAGTCGTGACAGTTCAGAAGGTGTTACTTCTAATCTTATCCCTGGACTGGCTGTGTCTTCACATCCGAGCATGATGGCCCTTCAAGGGTACAGGCCTTGAGGCAACTCCGCAACAAAAGTGTGAAAGCTTGCATTAATTAATCAGTGGATTCTTTGGAACTTAGATAGACTCTTTGCCACATCATTGCTACACTAATGACCCACGAGTCAGACCCTGTCTTGGGAGAACAAAACAACACATGAAGCTTAAAATAGTCCTTTGTTGTTTATGATGTGCCAACTATTTCAGTGACCTCTACTGTATGTCTCAAAATGCACTTTAGGGAGCTTGTTACTGTACCAATCAGCTTCAAAATCCCTCCTCAGGCGCTGTAAACTACATTCTCTGGGTATCTGCATTTTCCACAAAGCAGTTCCAGTCAGGTATTTCTGCAGCGGTAAGTACACAGAGGAATAGCTGGGGGGGGGTCAAGGCAACCTCTTGGGATGCTCCAAACCTGGACAATTTAGCAGTTTGTTGTGTAAGGTGTATCTTCCCTGAGACCGACAACTAGAACTTCACAAGCATCTATCTCGAGTGTCGGGAGACAAGAGGGGAAAAACTCTCACTTAAACATGCTAGTGTCCCAGAAGTCTAGGAACAAATTCAACATTTAGAAGAAGAACATCTGGGTACATAATGTATATACATCTATGTACCCAGATAGCTAACAGTAGTCTACCACAGAGCCCTCTACCACCACTTCACCACTTCAAACCAGAGTGCAAGCCATGCACTCACATCGTTTACTGTAAGTAGCCCAAATAAGCTACTTTTTGGCACCATGAGGAGCCGTTTGTTAATGAGTTAAACTAGACCACAAATTATGTTTTTGAATTGATTGGGAATAAAATTCAGACTCAACCTCCATTGATATTTATTTTACTGTAACCTCACATTCTACATATATTTTTGAATGCTTTCTGACAAGTTCTACAGAGACAGTCGGCCCATGCATAATACTTTATATAGCGGGCTCAATGTGTGGGAGGAGAGAGCACAAACAATAGTGACTGTGGTTCCTCTCGGGCCTGAAGCCTTGTCATTTCCTCTCCTAGCTAGCTAATTGCATTCACCTGCCAACCCAGGTGGAAGCTATCCTGTGATTAAGAGGTTGGAATGAAACCACCGGGACTCCGAGCACAGATAGCCAAGTACGAGAACTATTTGTACAAGCAGCAAGACAAGCTGGAGAAGAAGAAAATGCCTCTGTTCTCAAAAAGCAACATGTCTAACAACTGCATACACCTCTGCTTTATTAAGGACTCTACAACTTGAGAGCTTGAACTAAAAACTATTCCAAATCAAACTTCCACGATAAGATCCCTTCAAACCCACTTCATGTGCACTTAATATGACCTTTTTTTGTGGGCGCCATCAAAATAGATTTGTAAAGAAGACAGACTCAAAGGTCTTGTGTGCAAAGCTGCAAAGCTGTGAGAACAAATTTCCTCCTGGGGGACAATTAAGTATTGTATTATATTGTATAGTCAAACTAAAAAATGCCCAAAGGAGACATCTGACTCTTGGGTGATATGAACTGTTACTTAGGTTTTTGCAGGTTAGAAGGTTAAGCTCAAATGAAGCACAGGTGTTGCATTCAGATTAGACTTTCAACTAAACACCCACATAATGCTGCTCAACATCACTTATATGATTACAGTCAGTCATGGAAAATGACTTTTTATGGCTTTAGGAAACACAAGAGGGTGTGACGTGAAGGGTAACAGAGATTAGAAGAGCTGGGTGACAGTGAGAAACAGTCTTTGTGTTTGGACTTTCTCCCCAAACCCCTGCTATATATCTGTTTCTGGACAGAAACAAGAAGAAATATGGGGATGTGCTGTCGTATCGCTGATTGGGTTTGATTTTGGAGTAACACAATTACCAGTGGATCGAACCTTCCCGGTGCTGCTCTCTGTACCACCTGCGGGTTCAGCCTAAATGATGGCTGCACACATAACTGAGTCTGCAGGCAGAGCCTCAGTGAGAGCTTCCCACTTGAAAACACGAGGGGCCAAATTGGTAATTGGTTCTGCATCATATGTCAGGAATGGGATGTCTAAACTAGAATTGAGGCAAGTGCTTCACTCAAAGCTTCTTCTATTGTGAGCGAGATATAGTTTTCCTCCTTTCCCTTGCTGCATTGTTTTCTTCTCTTTTCTTGTTCCTGACATTTTTGACTTGCACAGATATGACTTTTTTGCTAAATACACTTTTTTTGTAGTTCCATCTACCTACATCCAATGATCTCCCTGATTTAGGATTTCTGACGGTGGTGAAGTCACCGTGAGTTGATGTGACTTAACTAAGGTCTGCAAACCCTATGTTTCCTGCTGCTGTTTTAACTGGTGAAATAAGTGATGGCTGACAGCCAAAGAAAATACTATTTGTAAGTCACTAAGATAAGTGCCAACCACAATTTTTTCTGGTCAGCCAATCAAGACAAGACGAGACATGGTCATTAAAAAATCACCAACTGGTATATTTTAATTTTTGCACGGATGTATACAACACAAAGAAGCAGCCTGGATGAACTGATTGATGAAGAGCTAAGCAACAGGCTTCCCTTCAGCAAGAAAACCAACCTTGTTTGTTCAACTTCTTTGTAGAAAACTACTGATTTGTCAGGATGAAACCAGATAGAGAGTTTGTTATTTTATTCAGGTGACTTCTTCAGTAAAGAGAGTGAGATTATTTGGTTTCTCTGCTCAGGGATATATAACATTTTAAAAGATTAGTGCAAAAGGGCATATTAATCTGGCCTGAAATCTTAAGGAATACACCATTTACAAAGATAATACTTATAATTTAGTCATCCCAATTTAAAGCTCCAAGTTTCCAATCTGCGGGATAATTCATATAATATGGGGAATTCACAGGGTTATTGAATGTTTAATAAGAATGGTAAAAATCACATTGTATGCAGACGACAGTGTGATATATGACAGGTCTATTCCCACTGTGCATACGGCAAGATGATCTGTATCTTCATTGGGTGGTAAGTTTTGGATGAACAATTTAAAAAAGGTAGAAAACCTACACTGCTGCTCCAGTATTGTGCTGGCTAGCAATGCTATCATTCTGACAGCAGCTCAAGAGGAGCACATATTTCTACTGTTGATATTCATTTGTACGCCGATATAGTTTTGGTTATCCAGCGGCCCCATTTCAAATTACACGTCAACTGAAATGTTCCCTTGCCATGTAATCATTGCTCAAGGAAACAAGCTGTTCCATGCTTGCGGAGAGGCTGTGCATGCTGATTTTTCTGACTGCTGGTTTGGGGACGCAGGTCACATAGACCTCAGGAATCCCTCCAACTTCACTGATGTGACTTCTTGGCACAAGTTGTTTTCCTGCAGCGGTTGCTTTCTCCTTCATACAAAGGGTGGGAAAAGAAAAGAGAGAGCAAGACGCAAAGGAATGAGAAAAGTTTGGGAAGGGACTTCAAGGAAGGACAAGAGGAAACTGTTTAGAACAGAAGTCAACTGAGAGGAGCTGTAGCTAAATAGAGAGAGGCAAAACTGAAAGGAAGACGAGGAGAGACACGTGGGAGAAAGAGGGACTCTGAGGAAGGAGAGGATAGAAGCAGAAGGGGGCGGAGGTTCGCCGTTAGCAGGGCTGTCAGGTGCTGTCAGGATGATGAATGGGAGGCCAGAGCGGGCTGTGAGGGCTCTGATGGGAGCCGCTGAGCTTTACATCACTCTCCTGAGTGTTTGTGAAAGGTTATTAAAGGCGCTTAAATCACCCGCTTCTGACACGGGACCCGCTACCAGCCACCAAACTTCCCCAAAAGTGCCGGCACTGACGACGTGTGCGGAGTCAAAAGATCCCGAGCCGAGAAAAGACAAAAGGAGAAAGCGGCAGCTCAGGTCTCAGGTACGAACATGCAATGAGAGGGGTTGAGGAGGCAACGACACGCAGATGGATTGTCTTTTTTCAAAGGAATAATGTAGGGTAAATGGGTTCAACAGCAGTCATCCATCATTACGGCTGATTCACAGTTCAGTAAGGTTATTGTGAAAAAATCAATACAGACACAGGCTCAAAATGGAAGCCTATAAAGTGGAAAATCACTACTTTAATTTAGGGGATTTAATAACTTGGTTGTGGAATCACTGCAAATATTTCTCATTCTTTGGTGTGTATTAAGCCTTTTATTAATTCCACTATTCCCAAAGTCAAGTACTCCTTACTTTACTCCTTACTTTTTTCTGCTGTTTTAACACTGAAACTCATTTCTTAAACATTCCCTGAGTCAGCTCATTTCTTTTGGAGGACAGTTGATATACAGTGTTTGTGTTGGCAGTGCTTATTTTAAGAAGGAAAGGTTTAAAGACTCACTTTTAGACTGAAGGGCTTGAAAAGGTATTGATCCTTTGCTGTGATTAATGTACTCACTTTCACACTCATACTGAAGGTTGCGGCCAGTGTCAAGTTTAGCAAAGGTCCATTATGTAAGGGATAATGCACAACGAGGTGTCCATTCTATATTTTAAAGGAGAATCTGTCAATAGAGATGAACCCCAGTCAATATCACCGTGGTTACCTGTTTAATACCAAAGCTGACTATTTTGCCAGGGTGTAAAATTAGAACAAGAACAGCCTCTTTTATTTTAACTTCTTTATATATGTGTATTATGAAGAAATAGTGAACACCCTGCAGCCAATCAGAATCGAGTATTAACCCAGACCATGGTATAACTTCGATTTTTGCAGCCAATCAGATTGAATCATCCTTTAACCACTTCCTGTTCTGTTTGGTAGTTTAATCTTGCATCAACTTGTTTTAGTTGTAACACGTTCAAGATGATGAGTCCAGTGCTTGAGTGAATCTAAGTTGCTTTGACAGGACAGGACATGATGCGAGGTTGTTTTGGGAGTTTGTCTCTTGACCTCTCGTTTCCAGTCGCTGCTAGCGCTGAAGGCTACCCCGCTACCATCGGAAACATAGCCTAGCGCATCCAATTAGATGACAGACAGGTTTGAGGATAAGACAAACGCAGCGCTCTTGTTGGATCTCGCATGTCAGCTAATGGAGTTGTGCTTGCAGCTTGGTTGCACAGCACTGGCTCTCTCTGCTGGGACTCGGATCAGGATTGAAAATGTATCTTTCAGGAGATTCCTGCTTCTCGTTGCTTTGTTAAACTAAGAACCTTGCCTCCTAGGATAACGTCATACATGTTTTAAGCTTGGTGAGTAAGGAAAAGAAAACAAAGCTCAGCGCTTGCACTGATCTGACCAACAAACATCCATCCGAATGTGTCTCTTTAATGTAGAGAATGAATGAAATCTCCAGGAAATTCTGCATAATTATTCAAATTTATGGGTTTACTTGAGCAAATAGTCTATACCTGGTCATGATGTTGAGCTCCAGAAGGACACCAAAGGTCAAGAATAAAACACACGCTGAATAAATTGAGATGTTTTCTCCCTTCTCATACACGACTGTGTTTTAAGCTTGTGTTGAGTCAGATCCTTTTTTCAAAATATAGATTTTTGTGTCAGCGGGAGGAGAGTTTGGCTGTCCCACAGAGCCGAGGCCCTGCAGGCTGGAGGCCATTTCATGGTCTCTGATTCTCATTTGTCATTCAGCAGTGTTAAATACTAGTAGGCAAATACTCGCTGACACGAGAGGGCGAGGCGATCGAAAGCAATTAGGCGTCTTTTTCTAGGAAAATCTGCAAACAATTCCAGTATTTAACCAAAAGAAAGAAAAAAAAAAAAGTATAAAATAAAACGCTTGGGAGTTCAGCAGATTTGTCCATGCTTTTGGAAATCTTTCAAAAGTGAAGTCTGAGTCACTCCGACTATCTGAAAGCCTCCTTGCTGAAGTCTATGACACACCAGAGTGGCAAAAATTCAATTTATTCATCTTCATGCCTCTGCTGCAGGGAGAAAAAATAATATTCAAACCCCGTCACACCCTGTGTCTATCCTGGGTAGAATTTCATTGAGGGCAGACTCTCGCAGCATCTCACACATTCTCTTCATACATCAGAAAGTCTCATGCATCTACACCTGGAAGCCGCCGGGATTTATCACAGGGATCCTACACATATTAAAATCCAAATCACAGACATTTTCAGACTGAAATTTCATGTCAAATTCCCCATTTTTCCTACAATATGTTTGACATTACAGCAGAAATAGCACATAGATCATTCTGTCAATAACTGGACTTCTACCCGCACTGTGAGAACGAGATGCTTTCCTATTACTTTGGAAACTTGAGCAAGCAAGCACTTTGGTTTGGATCATTTTTATCAGTGATCTCAGTTTAAACATGTTGCTGATAAGTAGCTCTATACACACAAAGGTTAGTCATGGTTGGTTGGTCATGGAGTCCCAACAGGTGCTGTGCTTGGACCAGCCCTTTTCACCTCATTTACGCTACCTCTAGGTAATATGATGCGGAAACGCTCCATACATTTTTGGAATAATTGTACTATACTTGTACTTGTATACTATACATGAGTCTGGTTCTGCTCAAGGTTTCTACCTGATATCAGGAAGTTTGATTGCCACTGTTGACAAGTGCTTCGCTCATGGTGGATTAGTGGTGAGTCTTACTTTCAGTAAACAGAAAAATAACCAAACATCAGCATGTTATATTTCTCAACGAGAGTCTCACTGTGTAATGACTAATAAAAATGCTTGATAGGAATCAGCAGCATGCCTGTAAATCATCTTTTATGATTCAAACCGATCAGCTGGGAACAATGAGCTGTGCTTTTACTCACGCTGAGCCTGTCTCCAGCTTTGCCATCGAGGGACGACTCTTTGTGCAACAGGTTGTACTGTGAAAGCCTCCTGCTGTCCTCCAGATGTGAAAACACGTCGTGCTGGTAGTAGTCCATGATTGACGGGGTTTTCTCCACGCTGCTTCTCTTTAGGGTCTCCTCGTTGTGATCCACTGTAGGAACAGGAATTTGGTTGTTAAAGTACGTGGACATGTAGAGAAAGGAAGCAGCTGTAATGTTAAAATGGGAAGAAATTAACTGTATGAATCATTTGGTTATTAGAAAATGAAACCGAACCTGAGTCGCTCTTCTTGGTCCTGTTGACCAGAGTCCTCTGAGGCGAGCCCAGAGTGCTTCCCTCGGGTTGGGCCTCAGAGTCGCTGCTGCTGCTCCCCGAGTACGTGCACACTTGCAGGGCTCTTTCCTGTTCATATTAGAAAAAGCAGACTCCTTTTAAAACACAGACATAAAGATAAAATAAAGAGGCACCTTTATACTGTCAGTTATGCTAGGAACAAAGAAAGAATGTGAGATATATATAAATGAATCTACATAAATCTTGAGATATAGCTCTGTGCAAAATGTATGAGAGGGATTATTTTTTCCCATTGGAATGATAAAGTAACTGAATTTTTTCAGAGCACAATGAAATATTTAATTGAAGAAATATCCAATATTTAGACTCCCAACTAACCGTCCAATTTTAACTGTATTATTAAAATACTTATTTTACTTTCCTCGGGCTGTAAATGTGTCAGTTAGCTAATTTGACAGGAAAAGACTTACACCAGGGATATCGTGATCCTTGTTTTTCCCCTTCCTTTCTGTTTCCTTCTCTTTGTCCTCTGTGGAGATGTTACTGCGAAGGGCACCAAGACTGAACCTCTTTGTCCTCATTGCGTCTGAAAGTCAACAGAGACAGGACAAAATGAGTTTTACAGTACAGGAAATAGCATCAAAGTGTCTTGCATTCACCATATGGCCAGCTAATGTAATGCATACGGACAGTCGGGGGAGGAAAACATCATTTGAATTCTTCTAAAGTGACAATTTTTCCTCTCGCTGACAGTCTGATGAAGCTCCATTCAACCAGAACCGTCCAGCTGCCTACACATCCATTTCCAGTATATATGAATGCAGCTGCAACAATATCTGAGCTATCAAACATTAACGGTGTCCAGCCTGCCATTGTTCCCCGCCATGACTCCAGGCAGCTTTCAGGCCTTCAGTCCTGAATGATAAAGCTTTATTATCACTCTGCCTACTCAGACTGGCGCTGCTCTAATTGTCTCTTTTAACATTCAGCTGCATTACAAAAACAGGCTGCTGAAAAGTCTGCAGTAAGACACCTTCGTGCTTCTTTCTCTTCAATGTGTCAGGCCATACTGCTTTTCCGGCAGCCATAAGCCTCTGAAGTATACAGTATTTTAAGTTTTGAAGACTCTCAGCTATCACACCTAGGGTAAAGAGAGATATCCAACTTTGGCCCTTCCAATTTTGTTCTCCATTGAGGCCCTACATGGGTTGCTGATGGGCCATTTTTTTGATCTTATGCCCATTTCTTGCCAATATATATTCTTTTGGGTTGCCTACAGTATATGGGCCCCCGATAGCTTCAACACATTTTGAAGCTATCGATGAGACGAACACCAGTTGGAGCCCACCTAAATCATTGACATCCCATATAGATAATGATGGCTTTATTATTCTAAGCCAACAATATGAGGCATTGTTACAAGGCTGAAATGGATCTGAGTTTCCACTGGTTAAAAGGTTCTACACAATAATAAAGATGCACAAAATATCTTTAGGCTCTACTAATCAACACAAGGGAAACTCAACAAGAGCTGAAATGTGACTCAAATTGCTGCCAACACAGCACTGAGGAAAAAAGATTCAGGCTAACGTCATGTAAGCAACAATCCTCTGGTGTTATTGTAGATTTAATCAGCCATCAGATTGCATCCACTCAACACCTTTTTGCTGTGCATCACGTTTAACTCTGAGCTTTATGATTTATGGCTGTGTTGACATGCTCGTCTAATTGCATTTGTTACTTTTTCCTCAGGGCATGGATAGTGTTAGTGTTTTCTTTTAGGACACAGACACCTTTGTAATCTCAGCTGAGTATCAGATGTCAGAGTTGATGCATTAGCTCAAGAATTAGCTGAACAAACAAGGTTCTTCTTTTAATCAGAGCCTCTAATAAACCAAGACACTTCCTCCTGTCTGCTTGTCTGGAGACCTTGAGTGCTCTGGAGGAAAATGTATTACATCAAAAACACTGACATTCAATCTTTTACTGAGCTTCTGAAAGGTGAAACAAGCTGTGTAAGGCTTTCAGCCAACTTAACAGAAGCTTCTATGGACATGCATCTTTTTGCATTGATTGAGAAATCCAATTGAAAGCAGATGTGGGCATATTTTTATCAAAGGCTGCAAGACAGATAGAAATATTTTCAGAACAACATGAATCAACCCCAATTCTAGCTTTTCTCTTAGCTCTGAGCCAAGTGCAAACATATATACACCAAATAACCCTTTGATGAGACTTTCTCGACTCACCTGAAGTTGCTAATTTGGGAAGGCGGCTCTGGGTGTCTTGCGGGTTGTTGCTACATGTCACAGTGGGGTCGGACAGGGAGTGACCCAAGCTGGCGGGGGCATGCAGGCGGGTTTTTGGGAGGGAAGGCACTTTCACATCAGGTTGTGAGGGGTCTGGGTGAGAGGAGAGAGGATCCCGATCGAGCTCGGAGGAGGAGCCCGCGGTCACCGCACCAGGACTGGATTCGGATTTGGGGATGTGGCGACCGCCGGCCCGGGTGACTGAATCGGGAAGAGGGAAGGTGCCGATCCCACTGTCCAGAGTTCTCATCTGACAGCCGGAGCCTAGAGTGACAGGGAGAGGATTGTGACGTCTGGGAGAAGCAGGGAACAACAACGAAGGAAAAGAGAAAGGAAGGCTTGGATTCACATGCAACGGAAAGGGTTGTGTGTGTAGAGGCCATCTGTAAGACATGGCCGAAAGGAGAAAAGAGAAAAGACAGCGTTTTATTCCAATTAGTAGTATAGAAGTGATGCAATTATTAGTATTCCTTTCTGCCTTCCTGATGCAACTTTGTCTATTAGGGACTCATTTGAAGCATTTGTAGCAGCAGATTCTAATCAGATCTGACACGAGGAAGCACCTGCTGCCAGCCATTCTGAACACAACACACAACTCGTGCTACAACCCGAGGACATGTTCCTTTGATTCATCAGGGCGCCTGCTGGGTCGTAATCAGCAGAAACGACAGCGAGCGGCAACAGATGGACGTCGTTTGGAAAGCACAGTTTGCAGAGCCTTGACTCAGGCAGGAACAGATGGACGTCCATCGAGCTCGGCCCAGGTCCTTGTAACTGTGAACACTCATGGCCAACAGTTACATCGGCTAATTATATGTGGTTTGCAACTTTTTGCTGAATTTGTGAAAGTGAAAAAGGCTTGTCACGTTTCTTTCTTTCCTTGTTTATGCGAGTTGCTGTGGGCAAACTTGGGCTGAACTCTTTCCCATTATGCTCTATCTTCGGCAGTCGGCCTTGGAGGCGATGAATCCTCAACAGCTCTGTGTTTCAAAATATTGGTATGCGAAAACTCTGGCATGTTTTGTAGAGGTGGATCGATATTGACAGGCTCTGCTACTCCGCTGTGTAGCCTCGTCTTGCCGGGGTTTCTGGAGCACAAACACTGACTCGTCATGAGTATTTGCTTCAATGAATAAAAGTTGGCTCTGTGTGCTGTCAGGCTGTACAGCTGAGTTTCAAACGAGTTTGCAAGGAGGGTAAGGGGCACGTTCTGAGAATTGGTTCATTCCTATGAACATTTTTTCTTAGGCTTGAGTCAGAAGCTCGAACTATTGATCCGTATTTCTTTCTTGCATTGCTTACAAGAAAGTCTCTTGGCGCCATTAACCAAGCACTGAACTGCAATCTTCTCTGAATGTCCAAATACTGTGGTTGAATTCACAGATGCTGGAGTTAAAGGAGGTAACTTGTTTGTGTTCTTGGTGCAAAAACTTGACGTCAGTGTTCTTATGTGTGTGTTTCTGGATATTTTTCTGACTTCTTCTGACATACTTTGCACTTAAAAGCTGTGAGAAGGACTCTCATGTGTTTGCATGTGCATGTACACTGTGTTCAATGGATAGATGGCCCATTTTGTGAGTCCCCTGAGGACAGTTGTTGCTAAACACATCCAAAGAGTCAAACAAATCTAAGTTTCCAACTGGCATGTTGTGAAGATGAACAGAGTACACACATGAATGCTCATTTGTGAGTGTGAGAAAGAGAAATGTGGATACAGCCATAGATTACACGGCTGTATAATTGAATGCCAAGCCTCGCTGGTTCAAAATGCCCTCTGTAACCAAACCATAACAAGGTCCACAGTAATTCTACCCAGAGGCTGCAACGACTGGACATAATCCAGTTTTTCATGAGCTCCCTATCATTTCAGTACACCTCCTCCAGGGTTTGAAAGGAGAAAGCTGCGGTGTTGATACCTTTACCTTGTTTAAATGGCCTTTATACCAAGAGGAGATATAAGAAGGAAAAGAAAGAGTCCACTTTTAAACCTCTTGTTGGAGAGATTTCTGTGGCGGTAAACACATGAAAGGGCCATGAAGACTGACATAAATTGTAAAGTCATATTTCAGACTAGTATTGTATGTCATCAAGCTCAGGAATTAAGCTTTTTTGAAATCTGTTTATTTTGCTTCTAGAGAAGTCTGAAGGCCCAAGAAGTAAGTCTTCAGAGCCAGCCTCAGCGAAGTAATTGCTGAATTACTGGTATTGATCAACACTGCCATCAAACCCTAACAGATATATTAGAGTCATTCTCCGCTTTGGGCAAGTCCAAATGTTATTTATTGTCCCTTTGCCAGAAAAAGTACTGCCTCAAGGGAAGTTCTTCTAATAAACAAAAACTGACCAGTGGGGAGAGAATCACATTCATAACTTGAGCAATGGATTTTGCTGGAGTTACTCGCATCATAAAATGAATGTTTGGATAGAAGCTGTTCATATGATTGATGGTTTTGTCCACGTTTTGGGCCTGTGAATGCTACACTTCAAAAAAAAAAAAAAAACCCTGACATTAAAGCAGCACCGAGGAGCCGCGGCTGAAACCTTTATGAAATATTTAATACAGACTGTCTGGAAGTGCTTAGATGGCAGAATATATAAAAAGGCACGGTGTTAATCTGAACAAAAAAATAATTGAGGGTTTTATTTTCAGCAGCGAGGCCGCCACCCATCATCAGCTAATTTCCACACTCCGTTTTGGCTCGGTCAAAGATTCACTGTTGGACTCTTTTGTTGAAGCTTTAAAGCAGAAAGACAAGTTAAGTTCAGAACCTGTTTCTGGTTCTAGATTATTCCCAGCAAAGGTCAGCCTTGCCAAAATACTTCTAGTTTAATTATAAAGTGTACATTGTGTTTTAAAGTTGGACCCCAACAGTGAATATAGAAAGATCATATCTACTATAGTGAGACTAAAAACACCACCACTTACAATATGCAAACCAATGACTAACACTGAACCATCTCTAAGGACATCCAATTTATAAACTATTAAAAGTTTTGCTTCTTTCACACACAGTGTGGCCACAAGTTATTAAAAAAACATCCTCTTGCAGAGGATCTAAAGTTTTGCTGGCCGTGGTGCTTTATTACAAGATAAGTCATTCTGACCTTTGAGATGGATCACTGAGACAATATCTCAAATATCTCGCTGAGTGACAACTGAGTGACAAACTCACTGCACTCCACTTCATGTTAACAGCTGTTCCACTCTCTGAATGCCCTCCCCACGCTATAACACACACCACAATGTACGTCTGTAGCACGGATATGATGATAAACATTGTCTTGTCGTGTTTTATGCATCATTTTTTTTCACTTCCATAGCTGCTCAGGCATTGTAAAATATCACCCGGTCGCACATCAATCACCTCACTAGACTGTCAACGTGTTGTTCACCGCCGCCGCTATTTCCCCGAAGTAATGGCAAGTCTGGCAGTGAGGGAGAATTAGTGGGCGAAGGGATTGAGTTGTCAATCACATCAGGAAGTCACAACTGTAAAACGTGTTAATGCCCGGTTGCACTGGTTGATTTCTGATGGTTAGTGACAGATTTTGTAAGCTTGGAAAAGAAAAAATTGGACTGGCTGAGGTAAATACTCGCAAATATGAAAGTCAGAGGCTTAGAAGAGATGGAGCGAGCTCACGGCAAAGAGAGAAGTTAGTCAAAAGGAATATTTCACATAGCATCGTGTGCTTTTTTGCTGTAGGACTTCTATATAAGCTTACCTATCATGTGGTCCTGACATGCTGTATCCGGCATGGGTCCCTCTTCATTTTCAGCCCTCAGGTTGATCTTCTCAGTCATCAGAAGGGTCTAGATCAATAAAAGAAGACACAGTTTGTTGACATAAACTAGAAAAAGGCAGCTAAAATACACCATTTAATATACAAGTACCATCATATACAAGTGTCTTAGAACGGTTTTTCTGTAAGCTGTCAAATTCTATTTTAAAAGTGCCACTTCAGAGCAATCTGCAGAGGGAAACTGAGAATTAAAGACTTAGCGCTACAGATTCATGCGTTTAGTACTTTTTCAGATGAAAAGAGAAGCTTCTGGCGTCGTAAAACATTCAAAGTTTTGTCCAAAAAGAAGTCAGGCCATTGTTGTACTTTCCTGCTTTCCTTTAATTGGGTTATTTTTCAAAAAAAATGAAAAAGGTTTAGTTTTTGGTTGGTTAAAGTGCAGGAGCTTGTAGGTCACAGAGTGTTCGTCTTTTGTTGTATTTCTGTGGGGAGGAGATAGAGAGAAAGCTCCGAGGATGGTATTAAATGTCCCCTTTGTCAAATTGAGTGCCTGCGATAAGGGGCTACTCCATGTTATCAAAATTCCCCATCATGTGCAGTGAGAGACTGTCTTTTTGAAACACTCTTTCTCCATTCAGTCTGCTCTTTATACCTCCTTTTTTATAGCTTTTTTATGATCTTTTAAGCACTCCGCCTCCTTCCTTTCTCTCTGGTCTTTTGACTGACAGATAATAAAGAGTAAACCCACAAGGTCATAATTTTAGCCTCTTGCCTGCAAAGAGCGCAGATATGATTTAAAGAACGGAGAAACTGCTTAATTTAAGTTTGCATTCTGGCTGAGACATAGCTTTAAAACCTCCAGCCTTGTGGAAAGAAAAACAACATCAGCTTGGGAAGATAATGAAAAAGTAGGCGATGAATTGTAGGCTGAGTAAGAACACAGTGTGAATCAATAGCAACCCTTTAGGGGATGTGATGCTGAAGAGGCGGCGGGGTTGTGGATTGTTTATGAACATGTTCATGTACTGTACAAGTGTGAAAACCTGCGGGAATTTGCATGTGTTAGTGTTTGTGCCAACAAGGCGGCCAAACAAGCACAGCTCGACACAGGCTGCACTTAATAAGTCTGTAAAGTTGTGTTATGGCGCCGTGTTTGCTCACTTACAGCGGTATCTGTGCAGATCTCCATATCTCCCTTCATTTCGCCGTGTTTCTTGGGCGAGGAGATCCCGGGCGGCGATGCAGCCAAAGAGTTGCCCTTCACAGTGGTCCTGTGAGGATAAAAGATTTGATCTGTTTTCATGTCTGTGTGTCGAGTTCCTCCTTTATCAACTCCGCAGGTACAAAGTGAGCCTGCTGATAAATTGCACTGACCTGGTTTTGCTTCAAACATGTGTGTACAGGCACAGAAATATCATCAAATGTTTAACAACCTCAATCAAATGCTTCCCCGTGAGTGATTGTTTGCAGTTTCTGTTTAAAAAAATCTGACAGTTGAGATCTGATATGTGAACTAATGGGACGGAAATGTCGAGTTTTCCTGGCTTATAGATAATTTACTTTGTGTGTACTGCCTGTGTGTCTGAATGCATGTCCAAGTTATGGCTCATGCTCACTGGATTGCAGTCATAGGTCATACAGAAGGCTTCTGCATGTGCTGTTTTGTTGCACTCATGTTTAATACAGTAATGGCTAATGTTAAATGTCACAGAGCAACCAATCTGCTTCAGGTTTTTGTTCATTCAAAGCGGAAGACTGACAGGGAAGAAATCAGCAAATCATCCGATACATTTCGATAATGTATTTTTGATGGTGAGGTTATTGTTTACCCACCTGCCAAGAAGCTCTTTCACAAACTGGTCTTTGCCGATAAAAGCAGTGGTACACTGGATCTGACTGGCAATCTGCCCCATCTGATTGTTGCAGTGGTCCATGATGGAGCTCAGCTTGTTGTTCATCTCGGAGAGATTCTGCACCTCCTGGCCCTCTTTCTGCTTCTTATCCTTTTTCTTGTCAGACTTCATTTGCTTGCCTCCGAGAACTGATCCAATCTTAAGCTCTTTCTTCTCGTCTTTTCCCTTGGGGGAGTCCGCTTTCTTGCCACTCAGAGCTGGAAGTTTGCTCTTACGAAGTCCGAACCAGTTTGCCAAAGACGGGCCTGTTTTCTGTTTGGCCTCGGTGGCAGCAACCTTCTCTTGTTCTTGACATTTCTGCAGATTCTCTTCAATTCCCATCATGACTTTCTCTTCAATAGTGCAGGCTGTGGGGCTGATTTTTTTCTCCTCCATATCTGGGGCTTTGTTTGGAGAGTCTGTCTGGGTTTTTACTTCCTGGCTAAAGTCTGGTTCGTTCGGGGTCAATGCTATGCCCCCGGTCTCTTGTGCTTGATTTTCTGAGCTGTAGACACAAGAGGATTGTGGCTGAAATTGTGGATGAGATGCAACCTTTGCTGGCTTACGAATGTTTTTCAAACCAATCTTATCACTGATGGGTAAGCTGCGTGCCTCTTTTTGTGAAGGTGAGTTGATAGCCTCCCCCTTCCCTGTTCCTTGCGCACCTTCAACCTTGGACCCTGGTTTAGACGTTTTCTCAGGGAGGATGTTTTGACTATTGGACCCTGTCATGCCTCCATAGTGGCTGAGCCGAGACCTGGGGGAATGGACAGGACTCTCAGCTGACCCAACATTGGGCACCTCCAAGGAAGTCTGTCTCGACAAAGAGTTCCCCCTTTCACCTGAGTTTGTGATAATCTGAGTTCGGATTTTTCCTGGTCCATCTAGAGAATTGATGTTGGGTTTCTCAATGTAGTTGGTGCTGAAACTCTGGCTACGAGCTTTGGCCCCATTCATACCCAAGGCTGGCTTGAGATGAGGTTTGGTTGTGATAGATATGGATCTGGAGAAAAGTAGACTTCCCCTTTTCCCGTTATCGCAAGCCTCCGCTTCCTCTGGTACCACAGCAGCTTGTACTTCCTCTTCCTGTAACCTACCCTGAACCTCACCTTTCCCCTCTGTATTGGACATCTTGGGTGGTGGATCAATACTGTATGGTGGTGGCAGGCTGTCATACTGGGGAACAGCAGCCAAAGTCACAGTCTCTTTGGAGACTAAGTTGATATGATCTTTCTCCTGCTTGCCTGGTATAGAGGGACTATTTTTATGGCTAGGGGATTTTAAAAACGCTTTAAACCCCATTGGGATGCGAGTCTTTGAGGACTTTTCTGTGTTTGGGGAAGTTATGACCGAACTGGGTGGACTAATGACTGCTTTACCATTTGGGGGTTCTGTTATACCTTGAGGGGAGTCCTGAAGTGATATAGGTAAACTAATTGATGTCTTCTGCACTGTGTGATGGACATTTTCTTGGGTTGGTCCTCTTTTACCTGCAAATGAGTTCTGAAGTGAGGACCCTCTGAGGGCACTGTAGGGAGGAGGGACATTCTTTGAGCTTTTAGGTGCATTTTCAGTTTCATGAGCACACCCTGAGTTTGGAGGAGGGAGGTAGTCTTTCGTGGTAATCCTCTTAGAAGTGCCTTTAGTGGGAGTCTGAGTCATGGCCGGGGACTTTTGAAGGTGCTGACTGGTTTTGTCGACCAGTTTCTGAGGTGCAAGTGCAGTCCCGTAGCCTGCATCCATGTCTAAACAGTCTTTATCCTTGATGGGGAGTGTACTTTGCATATTTGGTAAAAGTGAGGTCTGGTAACTTGGGGGAGGGCCCCTCACAGTGGTTGGTGTGGATGGTTGAGCCACCCATGTTTTATGTGCTTGAGGTGACCCTTCGTAATTTGGTCTTATCAGTAAGGAGGTGGTACGCCCCGGGGGTGGGGGAGGAGAAGGGGACCTGAGTTTGTTTTTGCTGGTTTCACAGTGTTTGTCTCTGGTTGGCTGTTCGCCACTGTCAGCATACTCCAGGGTTCTCCTTGGGAGGTGTGGGGAACTGGAGGAGGAGCCCTTATTCCACTCTGCCCTGCCAGGGAGCTTGGAGTTTACGGATTTTGGGCTCTGTACGCAGTTTCCTGGTACCTTGATGAACCTGGACAATCTGACTGTAGGAGAAGAGGGGGATTTCTCATGACCAGAGGGTCCTGAGTTTCCACTGGTACTTGGCTCAGTGGTGGAGCCCTTAGAGAACTTAAGTGGGGATCCTGCAGGTTTGTTACGACCAGGTATCTTTGAAGCACTAGACTTGGTACCACCAGACTCGTTCATGGGAGGGATGGAATGGCCCTTAGTGGGTCGGCTGCTTGGTGGCTTGATTAGTTTCCTTTGAGGAGTCAGCGGCATTGGCAACCTTTCTGCACTGCCCTCCCTGCTATTGCTTGATTTACTATTCCTGATTTGATACTCAGATGGCTTCTCTGGAGATTCAAGAACCGAGTAGTTTCTTGTATTTGCAGATTTTTGTTTTGTTGGTCTCTCTTGGGGCACGAGTTCTGCGTAATTGGGAACTACCTTAGTACCTTGAACTTCATTTCGAGGCCCGGCACCAGGGGTACGCTTCTGAGCACAAAGTTCAATGGGCTCTCCTTCTGCATCAAATATTGCCATTATGCTCTCTTCCGACTGAGTACACTTAGTCACTTTGGGCTCCTTTAGTAGGCTGAAAGGCCTGGGCCTTCCATCAGCAGACTGAGTTCGTCCCTGGTCTTTTCCTAACCACCTTTGTTTGAGCAGCTTGGCAGCATCTCTTGACAGCCTTTTAGAATCCATCTCTGCTTTCTCTGCTGACCGGCTAAAGGACATTCGAATGTCACTGAATTCAGACTTAGGTTCCTCTGGATCTTCAACATCAGAGAGGTGACTGGGACCTTGTGGTTCAGAACAGTGTAAAGGTAGCTTGGATGGTTTACTAAAGGCTGATTTCCGTCCTCCTTCAGGAAGAAAACTGTTGATGAAACTCATTAGTTTCTCAGGACGCTCTTTAGAGTCATAACCAAGAGGCTGCGTAGTGACAGGACCAACACTAACATCACCTCCACTTCCTCCTATACTGTCCTGTGTTCCCTCCCAGCTACACAAACTGTCTGAGATACTGTGTGAGAGCCTCTTACAGTAAAACCAGTTGTCCTTTGTGGGGATATTGTCTCCACGACCAGAATGTGGCAATTCATCATCTGCATCGTCCGAATCGTAAGAGAACTTCTTGCCACCGACAGCTAAACCTCTACCCACATGAGTAGGCTTGGATACCCCTTTACTGGTACTCTTGATACCCAGGGAGTAGATGCCCTCGTTGGAGTTCATGCAGTCTTTGTAACCTGACTTGGAGACCTTCGATGAAAAAGAGGCGCTCCTGTTTTTCCTCCTCTGGAGCTTTCGAAGTCCCTCGAGGATGTGGCTCTCCTTGCGCCTCGTTGGCTGCTGCTCCTCCATGGGGTCGCAGATATTACTTGGTGCTGACGAACCCAAACTCAGCCTCTTCTCCCAGGTCAGAGATGACTAGAAAAAAATAATTATATCAGGATATGTGCTGAAGAAATGCAGAAAGAAAAGCACTATCACTCGACTCTGTTTTCTTTATAGAGTAAGAGTTTACCATTTTCCCACTGGAGCGTCCGTCATTCCAGGTATACGAGCCGCTGGAGAATTCACTGCATGCACTTGACAGGGACAACTCACTACTGCTACAGCTGCTGCGTGGGTATACAGGCGCTGGCACTGTCAGACTCAGCTGGCTCAGACACTTGGCCACAGGGAGACCTGCCTTTCCATTCAACTGAACTTCCTAAGATATAAATGGAGACACAAAATTAAAGTGGAAATACCTGTACAAGAACAGTTCTACTGATCAGTATGGGAATCAGAGTTGGATATTTGATTTTGAAGTTTTAGGGTAGCGTTGCATATCTAATTCAAATCTCGCTTGGCAGATCAATTAAATATACCGAGTTCTCTTCAATGCAAAGCCACCATACTTTTCAAACTAACTTAAAAATATCAATCACATTTTCATGTGCACTCATCTAAACACAGCAGATGGGTTTCCAATTAGCACCTTACTCCAGAGAATGTGGCAATGCAAATAAAGAATTTGAAAAAGTTTAGATGGCAATATGAGAAATAAGATACATTAATGTTGCAGTTTCTATCCCAAGAGAAGTGCCATTCGTGGGGATCACTTTACGTCGGTTTTTTGAGTAGATGGGAGGTACATTTGCACATTTAGATTACACAATGAAACATAACTCACTTTGTGGTGATTACTATTTCCTGTGTCTACTTCAGCTCTAAATGCACACATTAGAGTTTATCAGGTGGCAATCTCAGAGGGACAAAACGGGTAAAAGAATAGAGCTAACTATTTTTCAGTCCTTAATGCATAATACATAAGATGACTAATGTAGCACAGTGTCCTATGGAGTCATTTTTACTGACAGGGAGCCTCAATCGATGGTTTTCTGGTAATCTGACAAGGATTTATTCCTTTTAGTGCCAAGTGATACTGCCAGCTCTTCCTGCTGAGGCTGAGGAGGGGTCACGACTGCAGATATTTGGGTCTGTATTTTAATATCTTGTAATGATTTCTTGAGAGGGGGTGGGGATGTGGTCTTGATACCTGAACAATAAAAAATGCATGTTCACCATTAAGCTTACATTGGAGGGAGATTCTGTGTTCCTGGAAAGCAGGAAGGCCTTGCTTCTCTCCGGCTCCAGAAGCAAATCGGCAGCGGATAAATCCATGATTCGAGAGTGGAGTTTCTGAAAGGCATAAGGAAGGACAAACAACCGTGAGTTTTGACTTCAGGGATTTTTTGAAATTTAGAAGAGCCTTGGTGTATGATCAGTGATTCACACAACAACAGAAAAGGCAACACAACAACACAGAGCACAATCAAACTTATTGTAGCTTCTAAAACTCAAATCAGAAGATTCTAAAATGTATCATTGACTTTGAGTTGCTTTTTGTATAAATGGTGCTCTATGTCTCGTCTAGGCTTTTAAATATACAGTTTAGTAAAAAATACATCTTCTAGCATGATGAAGCTAAATTAAATGACATATATGGAAATGCAATAACCTTGAATTAGTACAGCTCTGGTTCACTGAGACCCAGAACTAAACCTTTTTCTTGAGCAGTAAATGTTAGAATAATGCATAAAACTCTATAAAACAAATATTTGGATTGATTTTTCAACATCTACAAAATCAGAGCTGTATGTTGAGGGACTTTTTAAAAGGGACCATGAGATTCCCTGCATTGGCCGATTCCTACCCCTCAAAGTCATTAAGTCGTTGGACGGAAAAAAAAACCCTGAATGTGAATAGGAAATAATTGCATGAGGGAGTAAGGGATCCCTTTGATTTTTTTTTCTATTCATTTGCTTGTCTGCAGTCTCTTCTGATATTTAACACAAGTGCATAAGAGGGAAGGATACAAAAACCAAATTCATTTCCACGTATTATTCTCAGAAGTTAATTACACTGTGCTTAAATGAACTTAATCTGGAAACAGTCGGAACAGAAACACTTGATCTTCTGTTGAATTTCCTGCATGGGGTGAAGCTACTGCTCACTCGGGGAGTATATGTACATACAAGCGTTTGGATTTCTGTGATATAAATGAAACCTCTCATGCTGTGCACCTTAAAGAGGGAAACGATGACAGTGTAAAGTCACCTTCAGCAAATGCAGATGGAGACAACAATGCCACAACTATTTCATCAAAGTGAAGCTACTGGATTCATTGATTTAATGCACTCCATAAACACTCGCGGCTGAAAGTTTGTACTGACTTTTTGTGTGTTGAAAAAAAAAAAAAGTTCTGCACATTATAGTGCAGCAGAAAAGAAAGAGAACGGCTTCTAATGATGCCAAAACTTAACATCTTCTTTTGTCTCCTCAGAACAAACAACCTGCATCATGTCGCCTGTGGCCAAAACACAACCATCCCACGTTTCTTTTTTATTTTTTTTTATTTACTTCAACTCTCTGCAAAACAACCAAAGGGAGAGCTTTAGTGCGAGCTTGTGAATCAGCTTTCAAAGAGATTGACTCTTCACCTTCAGTGACTAGGTGGAAATGGTGCCATGGAAACAGATCGATGCCCACTTTCACTGCTTTTTCAGCACGGAGATAAGGAAAAATATACTATTTTTAGGATTTATATAACATCAAACTCAGAGTCGCGTTTGATTTGATTCAGAGGGAGATGCAGATTAAATGATTTAGTTTAGCCTTTGTCAGATCAAAATCAGGCTATGAAAATGTTTTCAACTTGTGTAATTTTTGTGTCTGAGAAAATATTGTTCTATCCAGAGGTTAATCTCTGACATTTCCCTTTTAGTTTTATGAGTTTTTTGACCCAAACTCATAGTGCCAGATGGTTTCTCGACCTATTTCTAAAGTCATGAGATTGAAATTTGTGCAGCTCCCATGCCGCATCCCTGCTGTCCGCTCCGGGATGGGAGTGGCTGAGGTGTCACGGGAGGCTCTGATCTTATCGTAGGGTGCTGGATTTCACCTCCTCAGCATCCTCATCAAGGATTCAGTCGATAGTGTCGCAGGGTCACGAGGAGAGGGGGGAGATAGATGAAGGAAACGACAATGACAAGGCCGTGGGTGCAGCTATTGGACTTTTGGAGGTTCAAGGCCAAGATCAAAGTCAAAAACATTTGTAATGTGCTCTGATAGAGCATGCAGCTCTTCGGCTTCTTGTTAACCATTGGTGGGCATTTGGAATAAGTACATTACAGTACGCGTAGAAGCTAATGGAGAGTTTTGTTTCGGATTACTTTTTCTCACTTTTGCCCTCAAGGTTATGATTTTCAAAGCAAAGGCAGCTTTCAAGCTAAATTTACAGTATCGGCAGCTGCTGTCAATAAAGTTGTCGGATGAGCAGAACTGCAAGACATCAATACGCATGAACACAGGTAGACGAGCAGCTAGAGAGAAAAAGCACCCATCAAGGAGGATATTCTTTAAACTCCTGTGAGGAAGTTGCATTTGTGTCGATTTTGGCGCCCAAGGTGGACAAACACTTATCTCCTAATGAGATGAAATCTATAACCTTGCTCCTTTAATACTCAAACACACCTCTCATTGTGAATCCGTGAAAAAAAAAAGTGTAAACAAAGGCTCTCTGAGTCTGCACGCCTACACTTGTTTCATACGACGCCTACGCCGGTGGCACTTTCACACATTAAGAATAAAAATATAGGAACAATACATTTTCTCGTTGGTGAATTTGCTTTGCTAGGTCATATAGAGGCATTAGTATTAAATGCAGTCTGTTTTATAACCAGTAAAAATGACCTCATCGTAACTTTAAGTCAGTGGAGACAAGTCTGGGTAATTGATTTACCACGATCCTGAATAAGTGGCATTATTCTGTTTACATTTCTAACTTGATGGCGGTTGTGGCTGCAGCACGTGTTTAGGAACACAAACAGCCAAATAGCACGAGCAGTAATGAGGTCATGGCGTTCATGCTGTGTCCTTGGGGCCCTGAAGCAGCAGAGAAAACACTGAGGATTTGTCCCAGTAATGGCCGACTCAATTGCCACTTTCCTGTCATATTTGATAAACAGCATAAGTGGATAGGACTGCACACCAGTTATTTTCCCTTGGCTTGTGAATAGCACTTGGTTCGAGAAAACAACTCTTTTTTTTTTTCTGAAAAGGTAGATGTCTGATTTTATTTTCATCTAAAATGATACACGCCACTTTGGGAGTCATAGCAATCGAGCTGAAGGCGAAGACGGTGCACAAATGGTGTAATCACCATGAAAAGTTTTATGGTTCTTTATCAGAGGAACTGAAGATGCCCACTGGGAACCAAGGGAACGTTTAATTACTGATAAGCAAAAGGTCCAGCGCCAGATGGGAAATAGTACACTCTGATTGGTGATTAAGTCTCCCCCCTGCTCCAGGCTCCAGCACAGCAAAGAAATGAAAACGCTCCATAATTATTTTCACATTTTCATGAGAGATTCTGTGAGTGGGATGGGAAATTTGTTTGTAGTTACGCGAGGGTGTATTTTGGTTCAAGTAGAAGGGAGAGCACCATTAAAGAAAGAAAGAAAGAAAGAAAACAGCAGAAGCATTTTTTGAATACTGAGATGGGTTAGCTTAGCATTAATTCTGAAAAAAGCTTCCAGGGCTACCAAGGAAAAACAAACATGTAGCAACAACTTTTGGAGCTTTCGAACAAACGTGTTTATCTGAAATGTTTCGTCTTTAAAGATAATCAGTGTTTAAACTTTGCTCGTCATAAACAGTTTTATCTTTGGACGGAGCCAAGCTAGCTCAATAAGTCAGCCATCCCATACTGTAGCATTAGCTTGCTTTTTAAATACATGAATGATAAATATTTTTGTACAATTTAAAAAAAAGAAAATTCTGATTTGTCTGTGAAACCAAATTCATTTCCCCTTTGTGTAGTTTTAAATGTATTTTTAATGGACCTGCAGTGATTATCCAAAGCAGATCCCACATTTGGGTTAATTCATGGATTCAATAAAGCGCCTTCAGCCGGATATAAGACAGATAAAAGACATCTCTGAAATAATCAGTTGGAAGTGTCAGCGTGCCGTCATGTTTATTATAGTTAATTATAGATGTTTTGAAACAGCTCTCCCACTCTACAAACTCATAACAGATGAACAGATCATCCGGCGCAGCGTGCTATCGTTGTGATTAATTCTTACACTGAATCACCTGTGCATGGTGAAAATGTCATCCTTGAGTAACGAGCCATTAAAAAAAAAAAAAAAAAAAAAAAAAGGTTCCTCTTCATGTTTGCGTCATAAAATGTGGACGTGGAAAACACACAAATATGAAAGTGTCTTTTGAGCTGGATCGTGCCCGGTGAGAGGGGGAGAAAAAACAGCAGCGAGTCTCGGCCTTAATTCGCGTCTCAGACTAGATTGCACCCTCTTGGTCCCCGCAGTGGTTTCATCAATATCCCTCTTCAAGCCTTTTATATTGCAGCTTCACTTGACAATGTCCCTGCCTGTCCAATAATGGCCGTGGAAGTACCTGGAACTGACGGAGAGCTATACAAAACACCCATAGCCGTATTATTTCTCTTTTTCTCCTTCTTTAAAACAAAAAAAAAAAAAAATCCAGTTATCTACCCTGTCTGCCTCTTCTTATTTTACCCTCACTTTTTCACTTTTCCCTGCATGTCGCCTCGGCGCCACATGCTTCTCTACTATCTCATCCCTCTCCATTTTCACCCTCCTGTCCTTTACTTCGCTCCTTATCTACTCTTGCTTGCGTCCTCTCTTTCTCGTCTCGATGGACTGACAGCTACTTTTCCTTCATTTCTCTCTTCCTTCTTTCTTTTATCGCAGCGGTAATTTGCACAATTATGAAAAGCCTACGTTTCAAACCAGCCTCATTGCCCTTTCTTACTACATCACTGTTGACAATACAAGGGTGAAGCATAAAATGGCAGGTTTGTCTGTCTTAAAGAACAGACTAAAAGTCCTGCAGGAATGCACAGACGTTCACTTTTTAGTAGATTGTTGTTTTTCTGAGATGAACTAAAGCAAATTTCAGCTTTCAAAACACCAGAATGGAAGATTTGTGGAGAAAGTATGTGCAGTCGTCACAGTCAGATGGTTCAATCCTCGTTTTTTCTTTTGCAGCATTTGATGCCGACAAGGTGCCGCATCAGGTAAATCAATAGCACTCATGCTGCAAACCTTTAGCAAAGTCTCCAAGCTGCATTACTAGCATAACATTTCAAGTATTTCCTTGGTTAGGAGCTTCTATAAAAGTTTCAGGAACTCAGACGTAGCAGTAGTTTTCAAAACCCTCAAATGGAAACTTAAAAGATAAAGATGCTCTCCTGCAACCCAAGAATGAGTTTTTATGGATGTAGAAAAAAAAGTGTTCCTTCATCTTTGCTTCAAAAAACAAAAACAGCTTCTGATGAAAGAGAGAGAGAGAGCAATGGCTCAAGATGGATGCAGAAGTTGCTCTGCCTCTTCTTTTCTGTATTCTAAATCAATGTATTTACAGTCTGCTTTACAGCCTCGGTCTCCCGGCTGAGACCCCGGAGCAGTTTAATAACGAATGAAAAACCACTTCAAATGCATGAGAATGAGCGGCCGGCCTTGTTTACTGGAGGAGCTGCTGCTTAGTGGAGTGCATGCTGAGATTGAGCAGAAGGTTTTATAGAAGTATAATATTTAAATGTATGTTTATGAGTCTGTTATTTTAGAATAAATAACCTTTAAAGAATCCTTTTGGCACAGGACCAATTTAACCCTCAGAGTTTTGTTTGCAAGGCTCGCTGAACTGTCCTCTTCGAGGTCAATTTAGACTCCTCTAGACAACGTTGAGAGCAACTTCTCTGTTCGTCAATCGCACTGGCTTCCTTTTTGAGGAAATGGCATTCATGATGTCATTGAAGAGTTTCACTGTAGCAGCGCCTGTACTGTGTTTTCTTCTTTGGACCGCATGAGATTGAGGAAGCAGATCTCGGGTATAAAACCAGTTTGAATCTGGCTTCTCTAGCTGAAGTTGTAGATTGTAATAAGACGCACAAAGGATCAACATCCCCTCCAACCCGTGGCTGTTGTGTGGGCAGCGTACCTGGAGAAGCAGGTCAGATGCAGGTTTGATCCGCTGCTGGAACAAAACGCTCAGCGCCCGATTCTGCTGCTCCAGGTCGAACACACGAGTTCGAAGCTTCAGACATTCCTCTCTCAGATCCTGAGAGGACAGAAACAGAGGGAGTGTTCGGGAAATGTCAAATATATTGAGTCTATATGTTAATACAAAGGGGAAAAAAAGAGATACAGTTAATGCAGCAGCAACAGAGAAAAAAAGGATACGTTTACTCTTACTGCCCTATGTATTTTTTAAATTTCATTTTCTGAATTTTTCACTTTTGTCACACAAGAAGCAAGAAAAAGATGAAAAGAAGAAACAAACCTTTTGGGTGAGGAGCGCCTGCACGACTTGATTTGCAACCTGAAAAAAGACGGAAAAAAAACATGGCGTCATCGAATGCTCCTTGGTTGTTTTACATGTCTTTTTTTTTTTAACCTCTTTTGACCCTCACAGGCCTCTGTAGACTTAGTCCTCAGCTAATCGACACATAAGATGATTTATCATGAGTTCAAGTGGTGCTGTATGCGCATGTCTTCTTCCTTCTCTAACTCTCCCTTCTTAATGTTGATATTAACAGCTGTAGAAGCTCACAGCCGCCCTCACTCCAGACCACAGCACCATTCAGAAGCGTCTCCGATTACCGCCCATTGATTGCTCATTAATACCGTGTGAATCCACAGCGGCGTTCTCTGAGCGCCCTCGCTCTCGTTTATTGAATGAGGAGAGATGGGAGTAAATACGGTGAAATGAGCCGTGCTTGTGGAACCGCAGGTCGCCGCTTGTAGCTGAAACCAGACCCTGATTCGATGGAGAACTTATTGTTTGACTTTGACACAAGTAATTAGGCTACAAATGAGCTCGGCCACACGGTGGAATCTACACAAGCAGCTGGTGGAACATAAAAAGATAATCACCTCTCCACTGTTTCTGTGTGCAGCCTTCATCGTCAAAACGGGATCATTATAACCCTTCCTTCCACAAAAGTCAACCACACAGGATAAAAATGACGAGCCAACACAACACAGTCGAGGCGAGCTGTTTTAATGAGGGCAAAAGAAGCAGAAAGGAGGCTACTTTTACCCAGAATGCAACACAAGGAAACTCCAACACAGCTCTATCACCAAATTCTCCCTCTCCATTTTTATTATTTCTGCACTCCTTCCTCTCTCCTTTTCTCCTTCTCTCGCCCGTCTTTCCCGCCCTCGGGCACTTCACCATGGTCTGCTGAGCCGGTTGGTTCCAGGACAAATTGGGCAACTTGTCCCCGCTGGTCGTACCCCCCCCCCCCCCTCCCCTTTTTATGGAGTGATTCAGCCAACAGCCTGCTTTATTCCCCTCATGTGGCTCTCTAAACAGCACTTATCAAGCTCGCGCAAATAACCGCAGGGCGCACAAGTGCCATTGTTACATAAAAACATTGCTTCTGCAACACCAGCTCACATCAGGTTGAGGTTATTTAACAGCTCATCTTCTGAACAACATGAACCCTGCCTGCAAATAACAACAACCATCATGTGTTTTCACTGTTAACCCTTCGAACTCTGCAAAGGAAATGGACCACTTGTGCACGCACTGACGCCGTGTTGACGTGTTTGTCATCACATCTTGTCAAGAAAACAGAAAACACAAATCATCCGGCACTCTTTTTAAAAAAAGGTAATCAATTCAATCTGGATGGAAAAACTAAAACCACCATTTGATAACTTTACCTTAGCTAACACAGAAATGTACAAACTAACCAGAAAAACAATAATCCTGGTTTAAACATAAGTCAGACATAATGTTTGTTTTGAAGTTCATTTAGGTAAGAGGTGGGATATTATGGTGTCTGAGCGGGAGACACTGTTCTCTGAACTCATAGTTAATATCAGCGATTCCTGTTGGCCTCCCTCGAGCTGCGGTGAAAGGAAATTGCTGACCTGTGGGAAAAGGTTTGAGTGCGTTGGAGGACCTCATTAAAACCTTCATCTTACACTGAACTTTACAAATTCTGCTCACATGGAGTGGAAAACAAACTGCACAAAACAAAACTTGAGGATTTAGTCAAGGTGAGCAAAACATCTGTCGGGTCTTGAGGCGACGTTGACGAGATAAACACTCACCTCATCGAGACAGCGTTCGTACTGTTCCCTCTGGCTCTCGTTCTCCGAGGCCAACGTAGAGTTTCGCTCCTGCAGAACACACACACACACACAAACACACAAACACTGAGTCAGACACCTCGATGCAGCAGGAACCTCCCCGTGACGGTGGCTTACATTTGATGCATCAACAATGGAGACACAAGCAGCAATCAAGCGAAGACGAGGCTTGCTTCACAAAGGTCAGATGTCGACGTTAAAGCGTCACGGCTGATAAAAAATGTACAAAGAGCCGCGAGGAGAAAGGTCAAGGGGATGGAAGTTGTGTTGCTGAACTTTAGGGCGGCAGCTAGCCATTTGGAGTTCAGACTCTAATAGGAATACCTCCTCCGCGCTCACGGAGATGAGGCGTCGGCCTATTGATCGCGGGGAGTTTCCCATTTGTCAGAGGCAGACGGCATATTAGGAGCTGTCAGTCGGGCCCTGTAGCCTTTAGTAGAAACTACAGATCCCATGAAGGAAACATGGGGAGTGTAATTACAACCCAAAACACTCAAATTACCCCGCCCAGGAAGAAACACTGACTAATGGAAGGATGATAATGTGGGTGTTAGTGCAAATGTAAGCAATGGAAAAGGTCATTAAAAAGAACTTCATGCTTTCAAATCCCGCCTCCACCAAATCAGAGGCGGGGCTTAAGTTCATTGCAACTTCTTGAGCATGGTTGCAAGAGGCTTCTTGCAGCTTTTGTGACTTTTAAGAGTTTCACATTTCTTTTGTTTGGTACTCTTAATGGTATGGAAGCCCTAAGGGGACACTCAGCCGCCCATTTTATTAGACTCTGTTCCTGTGATTAATACATCTCTGTTGTTTTCTTGAGCTCTCGCCTTATTTATCTTGTTGGATAACAGCGCTGGCTTTTCCCATGATGAAGAGTTCATTTCTCAAGATCTCGAGGAAACGGCTGAAATGAATTTGTAATCTCAGAAAACCAGCGATGTTATCCCGAAACCAATAAGTCAAGATCTCAAGAAAACAATCACTTAGAACTTCTTTATCAAGGCCACCCCCCCCCCCCCACTATTAAAGCTTTAGTCACTGCATTTAGGTTCATGTGCTTAAATATAAAGCATGATGTTAGGAAATGATGAGGGCACATGGCTAATTAAAGCATCCGCTCTCTCCCCACTTCACAAGTTAAGATGACCAGCAGGCATTTCTCCTCTGTCTCTGTGTGTATTCATTTAAAGCCCACTTTACAGACCACAGTGTGGCCAGACAACTTAATGACCCGTATCAGATGAGCAGGAGAAATGAGAGCCGGGCAGTGCTTACTTAGTGTCAGATGAGTTTATGCACGACCCGGGCTGGTGATGAATCGCCTCGGCTTTTGTCCTAGCCGCTGTGGCCGGCCGCGCATCCATCATGAGTGGAACAAAACGGCAGATAACTTTTGATAAAGCCATTTCGAAGGTAATGTTTGGGTAGTGTGATTCATCAGCGCTGGAAGATAACTCACGGCTGAGGAGCAACAGGTAAATTACCTGCCGTGTTGCTGTAATTAGGGACTTTTTTTTTTTTTATTGGGGAAGCATTAGCCTAATTGAGACAAGAAAGAGAAAAAGAATACTACACTCTTTTCACATGTTTTTCTTTGTATGTTTGCACTGAGAGATCCTCATATCTCTGAATAAATGCTTCTCATTTACTGTCTTGTTTATTAGTTTGCTTTATTACTAACTTGTGGTTTGAGGATTTTTACTTGATTTAGGACGAGGCTAGACGACATGTCAACATCTAAAAAGCCACAGGAAGCCTCTTCAGAAGCCTGGTGGCTGGATTTAATCAAGTCTGAATGCTTTAATTGCTGCGGCGATCTAAGAGAATGTGTGTCCAGTGGCTTCAGTACAGAAAACAAAACAAAACAAACAATCGGCACGGATCTGTTGCTTTCGGCTCTTGGCGGCGAGCAGCTCAAATCCCAGTGCGCCGAGGAAAACAAACCAAAGCTGGAGTAGAGCCCAAGGCCCTAGCGACTCGTCTCAGGATGACTTTGCTCTCCAAACGGAGCAGACTAGGGAGAGTTTGATGAGCTGTCATGCTTTCAGACGCAACTGAGCAAGGGACTCTTGACAACTGGCAGACAAAGCCGGCCACAAAGGAAAGAGAGAGGTGGCTGCGAGAGGTGGGGACGAAGGAAGAGACAAGGAGGAGAGATAGGAGGAGGAAGGGGGGAAAAAAAAAAAAAGGTGGTTACCTCCAGGGCCTTGAGGCGATCCAGGAGGGGCTTGGTTTTGTCTTTGTCGTCCTCTGATTGGCTGGCATCAGGATCAGCGCTCCCGGAGTCTGGCTGCGTCTGAGGCGCCTGCGGGGAGCCGTTCTCTTCGGGGCTGTCTTGCTGCTTCCGCACTTCCTCTGAGAGTTTATCCTGCCGAGCAGACAAAGGGAAGAGGTTAGAGGAGAGGTACAAGGAGAGGGTTGGCAAGAAGAAGAAGAAGAAAAAAAAAAAAACAGAGCAGATGGGAAGAAGGCGCTTAAAAGTGAGGTACGACCAAAGTAAGGAGCTCAAGAAATCAAAGGGAAGGAGAGAGTAAAAAGGGGAAAGGATCAGACGGGCAGACGGGACAACAGAGCTCCAAAACGTCCTATAATCTCTAATCATGTTTCACTCGTTTTCCATAGAACGACGGTGACCTTGAAGGTCTCTCGTCTCGTCAGTATTACGGGGATCAGAATCTCCCCTTCTCTGAATATCCGCCTCTCTTTCTTCCTCAGTCTCTGTGCCAGCTATCTTCTCCTCTGTCTCTGTTCTCCTGAGGTATTTTCCTTTCTGGCTTCCTTGCATCTGTGATAATTAACTATGGTAATAATTAGCTACTAATTAGGCCGCGTCTGGCTAGCAACGAGCTGCAGAGAGAAAACTCGCTAACTGTCATGCTCAAGTTATTATCCCCGTTTGGAGGATTGTTTGGCACCTCAAGTATGCACTAATTCAGAACCCCAGTTTGAAGAGAGAAAGCTGCAGCGTATTTGTTAATTAGATACCTTTGTGTGTTCAGGTAAAAAGAGAATTTAAGAAGTCTCCTTGGGTTTGGTGAAAGAATGATTGGTATTCTTCATGCCTCTTTCTGTGTTTTAAAGAAGAGAGCAGTGGCCGTGACCAACCTTCACAGGTCAAATGTGTCCGTGATTTGATGGCAGTTCACGTAAAAAAGTGGTTTTCTCCAGTAAAACGCTCTGATTGATTCATTTGAATAGATGTAAGATGAGGCACAGCAAGACAAAAAAAAAAAGAGAGTGATGACGGGCACCGCATTGACTAAACTTTTAGTTTCCAGTGTTACAAACTGGCATACATTTAGAAATTGTATATTCTAGGTGTCAGAGGTTGAATACTTTAGAGTGTCATTTGAGTTTAATCTCCCAAATTGTTTCTTTTGAATAACTAAAGGACCCGGGGGAAGAGATGCTGTCCAAAGATGATTAAGTAAGAGTGAACATTAGAGAAAGAATCTGGACAAGGGGAACTCATTTGAGTGTCAAAATCATTTTTTTCTTACTCCTTGTCCAATAAATGACGTCAAAACCCCTTAAGATTGATCTTATGACCCTTATTAGGACCCTGACCCTCAGATTGGGAACCCTTGGAGCAAGCACAAAAAAAGCAAGAAAAGTACACCTTAAACTGATAAATGCATCAGTTCTCTAATACATTACAAATTCATCATTTTCCCAGCTATTCACTTACAAATCCCCTCTAACAATATGTGCAGTATTGTGTCCTACAGCAGCATCGAGAGGGAGTTAGGCTGACTCTGACATGACTGAAGTAATGACGGCTTTTCTCTAAATGACAAAGAGGTATTCAGTTGTTCTGAGTGTGATACATCACTGTGCACACACTTTACATTTTTCATTCCTGGCTGACAGATTATTGTCAAACCTGAGATATCTCAGCGGTTAATGTGCCGGACCAAGTTAGCAGCGCTAATGGATGTCTTTTATAAGTCCAAATGCAGCACAGTACAAGCGTCTCTCCCCTAATAGGAATTGGATATAATGTCCTTCCAGGCACTTTGTTTTCAGCCTGATCCAATCTCCTCTAAACACATATTAGGTTTTCAATCTTGCTTGATTCCATCAGACAATTGTGTTCAAGGCAATGCTTTAAAGTCACGCTTTTTTTTTTAAGTCTGCTTTTGTTTGCTTTTTGGAGGCGCTGTGAAGTCTGAGAGACTGCTCATCAGACGGCGTTAAAGGGCTCGCTAATAATCTCCGCAGAGAGAGTGTGGAGTCGGAGAGGGGAGGGGACCTTGTCCCTCCCGCTGCCCTTTCAAGTTATTGAGTTTGTCTGCTGAATACACAGAATACAGCTGCTGCAGGAGCGTAGGTACAGAGAGTGCTCGGGGAAACAGCAACTGGGAAATACATTAAAAAAAAAAACCTCCAAGTTTACTCTCTTTGACAATGTCCGTCCACTGTGATACATGTAGACAGAGTATCTCTACATGTGGGACAATAGAGTCTGGGACAATAAGGTCTTCAAAAAGGTCTGTTCTAAACATGAGGGGGAAAACAAACCTCTTTAAAACACTTCAATGTCTACAGCCACGTGTATAGAGAAATACAAACTGAAGAGTAGTTGCTCCATTTTCCAAACATACTGATTCATTTGGAACAGTTGTCATTCTGCTTCTCCTTAATATCATCCAGAAAAGAATGACTGTGTACAGATAACACCATTTGCATGATTTGCATACTGACACATTCACTTTGTCTTCAGCGGTCTGTCTAGCCATGTTTTTCTTTTTGCACCTCACTCTAATGCGGCTTTTAATCCCATGTTACTCAACCCTCTCACCCTCACTGCATAGAAAGCAGTAAAGGAGCTGACATTTAATTTTATAGCACTCCTTTTTTTCTTCTGCCCACTTTTATTTGCGCTCATAACTCAGAGACTTTCTCTACATCTATTCCTGGCTGTTATTCACGGTGATGAAGGTGTGCAGTCATCTATAATGACGCTCTTTTTTATTGCTCACTTGCTGAATTAGAGATGCCCTTTTGGTGAATTCCCTGGAGCTCTTCATTACAGTCGTTGATGCTAAAGATGATAACATGGTTTGCTGTATTACGGAAAGTTCTCCTGTGGTGCTAGTGTGATGGAAAAGTTCAGATTTCTGCAGATGTAAAGAAGCAAAGACGTCGCATACGTACTTTAATAAGTCGAGGAATGGTTAGAGGGTAAGTAACTTTTCTTCTTCCGTGGTAAAGGCTCTCAAAACGTGGGAATGAGTAACATCACACTGCGGATAAACAGACTGAGGCGTTGTAGCGCTAACACAGCACCGTGTAAACATGCTGAGTTCCAAATTGAACAGTGTGACCCCAGAGGTGACCCCGTGCTTCAGACATTCGCAGTATTTCTTATTCTTCTGCCTCTGTGCTCAATCCCAGCAGCTATTTCTATTATGTAACAGGGTCAGCTGTGAGCGTTTCACCTCGGATCAGTCTGGCTTTATTCTACAGCGCGGCTGTCTGAGGGGAAAGAGGGACATGAACACAGAATTTGATACCTGCAGAAACACTACTGACAAACCAGGCAGTTCATGAAGACCAATTAGCGAACTTGCATTGGCTCCTTTACACTTTCTCTCTTGAAAGTTTCCATTACTTTCTCTATTAGTTTCATTTACTGAACACAGGAAAAGCAACAGACCCGCACAGGATGGTGTTTTTACCTTGTAGGCCTTCATGATGTCCACCGTGTCCACGGCAGTCTGCTCCAGGACGCCCTGATTCTGCAGCAGCGACCGCACCGTCTCTTCCATCCTGCACACAAAAACACACATCGTGCTGTTTTTAAATGGGGAGTTAAAGGCGCTTGATAATTCATGCTGGTGTTTTTTTCGATTTGGTCAAATATGAAAATGATGTGATTCCAGAAGCATCAGCTGCTTGAAAGACTTTGGAGTCTCAAATTTGCCCCCTCAAACATTAAAGTAAGTTGATAAATTCAGTAGGTGTTTGTTACTTGAAAAGCATTGTCGCACCCCTCAGCTGTGTATTTTTACACTTTCCATCAGCCTGAACACACCAACACAACCACAAATGGGCCCATGAAGAAAAAGACAATGTGACTGAGTCAGTGCCAGAGATACAAGATGGATGAGTCGTATTTCTTTTGGACTGAATCCCACACTTCTGCTCGGTTAACAATGCAGGGAACACTGCAAATGACTGGACTGAGGACAAAATGTGCAACCACAGTCCTTACTGACTTTTTGTTTGTGGTTTTGTCGGTTTGTGTGGCTGCACGTGTGTCCAATAAACATTTGAATTAAGAGCAATCACAGCAGCAAAAAACCATGCGAGTGACCTTGACCTACGCGGCATGCTCTGCGACAAACAATTTTCTGTTTTGTGCCGCTCGCGCTGCAAGCTGCATGCAAAATAGTTGACGAAGAGTGTATGTTGAAATGCCTCTGCTTATTTCCATCTGAATAGGAACCACATGGTATCTGTATCCCTGGATTGACCTGATATGTATTATCTTTCTGATTCGGAAAAAAATGACTACCACAGGAGCAGATAAGATGATGTTGGACCAAGATGAGATCATGTAAACAGAAAATAATACGATAAAACTTAGGAGAACCAGTGGATGTAGAGGGACAATGGCATTGATACAAAAGGAAGAACCCAACAAAAGAAGCTTTGACAATGTCAAGTGGGAATCATCTGAATTTCATGAAACTGATTTCCGTCTTCTTCTTCTTCGACTGGTTTTATCATAGAGAAGTCAAACAAGAGCAAAAGGGAGTTGGTTGAAAATGCTTCTCTTTGGAGTTGAATTTGGTAGGAACGTTTGACTTTAATATACTTTCGAAAATTCAGAGTAATTCTAGAAGTAAAGCTGTGACGTTGAACTTCAAGATAACGCTTCAAATCAACAAAAGCTTCGAAGAATGTGGAAATACATAACATGCTTTGTTTTTCTAACAACTTCCTGGTTAGGGTGTTCCACTGATTAGCCTTGACTGATGAATGACAGTGAGGAAAAATGAACGCAGGCAGGGGCAGGGCAGCAGAGGCCGCACCATCTGTCCAGGCTGAGCCACAAAGCCGGGTGTAATCAGGCCGCTCGCTGCTGACTGAACAGTCAAAGAAGCAGGCGGATTGCTCCAGTTCCTACTTTAAATGCTGGCCTTAATCGGCACAACCTATAGAGCAAAGAGGACGTGACAGAGAAAGCTTTGGTGTCCGGACGCTCTGACACAGGGTCAAGGACTGGCTTGACAGGCATGAGCAGCATGGCAAGCAGGGGGATAGTTGTTGGACAGAGGGGATTTGGGCAGTTGACCACCTACAGGTAGAGCCCCCTTGTATGTATTATCATGACTGCCAGGTCACACAGCTTTTTGTTCTGACAGGTAAATCCCTGGCGATCTTAAAGAAAACTCAGGAGGTCATTCAACAACACTCCTGGTGTGAAGGAGGAATGGAGCCTCATGTTCGTTCACCATGCGGCTTAATCCACAGATAAATACAGGAAGTCATTGCACAAGAAAAAGTCCAACATATAATCCCAATACAACCAAAGAGAATTGTTTTTTTCTCTTTGATTTGAAAGCATTGAATTGCCAAGAAATAAGATGTGAATTATTAAGCTTTAGAGATAATGGATTGAGGTACCCCTGGAAAAAGCCATGCTAGCTGCTTCTCCCAGTCTAGAGTCTCCGTGCTAAACTAAGCTAAGCTAAGCGAATTACCTGTATCTACAAATACAGATATGAGAGGGGCACATTTTTTTTTTTTTTTTAAATCTAATTCTATAAAAGAAAAAAGTATATCCATCATTTGCCAAAGGGAAATATCTTTTGACCCCAATTAAATCTTGGTAAATGGTTCAGAAAAGTCCCATATTGCCCATTTGTTAATCGTTTAGTCGATTCTCTTTTTCCAGCAATAATCAGGAACATGCGGCCAGCAGGACAATTGTGAGGACCATTCGGGGTGGACATCTAAATGAGGGAGTTTAAGAATTAAACTTGAAATGTGGAATAGCTGAAATAATCATCAGGCGAGCAACAGATGGAGCGAAAATGATTCCAATGCAGCATGAATGAAAACATGTGCCAAATGAGCCAGGGAACCGATTAATGCAAAATGAAATGAACGATTCAAACATTTGCTTTTGTTGATTTTGTGGCCATATACACACAGCCATACCGTCTTCACTTCCAGACAAACTTCCCGGCGTGCTCACTGTGACTGGCGAGACCTTAATGACCTTTTGCATTACCAAGTGGCGGTGGCACTTTGATGCCTCGGCCTGCCTGCTTCCTCATGTTGTGGTTGGAGGAGGAGGGGTGGGGGGGTTGTCTGGGTGTGGTGTTTCAGCTGGTTTAAAGGGGGTTTGTAGCATTCTTGTTCACCAGAATGGGGCCTTTGTGTGAGTCTTCGTAGAGTCAAGGAGCTCTGGAAATGCCTTGTTTTTAACTTCAAGTGGAGGAATTTGGTGATTTTGATGGCAGGTGATGGAGAAAATTTGAATTTTGGTGATGGTGCTTGGAAACTTTTCAGGCTTAATGGCAAAGCCCAATTGGAAGTCACACTTATTTAATTTGAGTGAAAAAGTACACAACTCTGCTCTCTCTATTTTCAAATATAGGCACCATAAAATCTTGACGCTAACATTTAAAAATATACCACAAACTCCTTCCAATCTAAATGTAATGTTTAAAACTCTGTGATATATTACATTAAAGTGTCTGGAATAAAAGATTCTGCCAACTAGTAACAACATCATTTTCTTTGCTAACTCAAGCAGCCCAACACCACAAATAAGAAACGCTCTGGACAATTACCCCTCAGTAATCACTATTGATGTGGCGCTGATTACAAACACTGACAAACCACTTATAATGTTATTTAGCACCCCTTTCCAATCAAAGCACTTATAAGTCGTTAAAAAAGTATTTCAAAAGCATTAAACAAAAGTGCATTAAAATAATCAAATGCGTGTTTCAAAGGCAGTAAATTCAGCTGAGGACAAAATGAGATACGTTTCCAGGAAAACATCCCATAAAATAAACAATGTGATTTGTCATAACTGTATATTCACTCACCTAAAACCGATTTAAATGTGTGAGAGAGAGTGTGCTAAATGCGTATGATGGATGGAATATAACTCCCAGATGACAGAGCATTACTTTACATAAAAAACACAGTCTCGCTCAGTGATAGTGTGATTAATCTCAAAGTGCTTTCCAACGACCTATTGAAAGCATCATTCAGTGAAGGAGAGAGAGAGAAGGACGAGCATCTGTGTGTGTGTGTGTGTCTTTTAAAGGGGCGTATGTGCCGGCGAAAGCAAATTCTGACATTCTTGACCCGCGCGACGCACAAGCTGAATTTCAAACGCAACGTTCGACAGCAGTCCAGGAAATACAATTAAGGGTCCAATCAATTTTCAGCCTGAGCTCTGACAATCTTCAGGACAACACACCCCTTCCCTCCGGGCAAAACACACACACACACACATAAAATGCACACATGTCTCGAGCTTTGATGTGAGTTCAGCAAAGTGATGCATCATCAGAACACGCCGGGCAATTAGAGGTGAAATGCTGCGCCACCTCTCTCCGACTGCATAACATACAAATAACTTTCTCTTTCTTCTTCCTCTTTAGTCGTCAAAGGTCACAATGACTTCAAGACTTCAAACGAAGCGGCGTTTTATTCATAAGCCTTTCTATTCATCAAAACTCTGGCTTTACACAGCCCCGACCGTCAATGACAAATTCCTTCACAGACCTGAGAATGATCAAAGGACTCCAAACCTCTCAAAACTTACCCCATCTTGAGTTTTTCACCACCCTTGACACGGCCATTTCTCCGGAAAAGTGCAAGAAACACTGTGCACACATCCCTGATCTCCATATGAAGAGACATCCGACTGCACATCCAGCACCTCTCGCTGCTCTCACAGTGCTATAAAATGACCCAGACGCTATTGCTGAAATGTGGGTCTCTAGGCTAAAATAGGCCATGCGCTCATCATATAAGCCTGAGTGCTTTTCGCTCAATCGACATACAGCATGGCCGGTCTCATGGCCGGTCACACGGAGTCATGCCTGCTCTCATTCTCGACTGCCCTGTCTCCAGTGTGTCATTATCCGACACCGGCCCTGTGCAAAGACAGTGATCTGGCAGGCAAAGACTTTCCCATATGTCCCATGTTAAGCCCTCTCCAAAGGAGAAGGAGCCCTGCTGAGAGACAAGCAGGCCGGTAGTCTCGGATCAGACGGGGAATCAAGGATGGACTTGCAGGGATAAGGCGCAACTAAAGACAGGGATCCCCGTTTGTCGGCCAAAGCGTGTGTACTTGTGTGTGCATGCAGTTGTGTGGGTTTGCGTTGGTGATTAAGAGGCTTTGGCTTCCCTTAAAAATCAACACTTTCCGTGCAAGAAAAGCTAACGCAGAGGCAGCATGCCAGAGCGCTGATGAGACATCTCTGCAGGTTGTCGCTTATTTCTAACTTCTCGCTCTAATGATCCTACAAATGTGCCACTTTTCTTGAACGCAGTTTGAGGATGCTCCTTTGTTTATTTTAGGAATCACTCTCCTGCCAATGGCCGCCTGCGTCTTTGTATGTTTCACGGCCCCCGACTGAGCTGGAGCTGCAGATGCCCCCCTGCCATGGTTGGATATTAAGTTTGCCAGCATTCCTTGGCAAACAGAAAATGAACTACACTGTATGTATTTGAATTAAATATAAAAGCTTGGACTTTTGTACTTTTTTATTTTGCACAGAAAACTTGGAGAC